GATTTATGTTTTCGCATCCACCTGAATAATATGTAGTTGCGCCCCTGCTTACGCTTGATATAGAAAGTATAGGAGGACATGACTGTCTGCCTTCATTCCTGCACAGCAACATCCCACCTCAGTATGACCAGGGTCAGCACACACAGCAGCCTGCCTCAAAGGAAATCAATAAAACACATTAATCTCATCCTCATCTTTATGAGGATGCTATCTGCAAACCATTCTTTTATCCGGTACATTTGGCTAATAAATTTTTATTAGATTTATTAGTTCAGCTCAATTTCTGTGATGGTTCTAGTTAAGACTGCCTGAAGGCTAATGCAGATCTGTTAATCATTCGGTTCCTGACCAGTTGTGTGTTATGGTCCAGATCTTTTAATATCTCCCAAAATTCTATAATTTCATCACTAAAATGTGTTTCATGTTGCCAAATCATTTCCACATAGAAACTGTGAAGGCTGACAGTTACAACAGTAGTAAGAAAAAGGTCAGAGTTCACAACAAGCAGGGCAATGGAACAACAGCACCATCTGATGGTTAACATTGCACAGAGCAACACACTACAACCCTAACCAGTCACCACATAAATGATGTAAGGATCCCATCGTCACCATTCATCGAAGGACAAACCATTAAAATGTCTTTCTGCTAAGTTCTTTTAGAACATTCTTTAGTCATGCATTGTATTGGGACAGAGAATAGAACCCGTTAGAAGGCACTAAATTAAAACTTTATTCATTTTATACCAACAACTTAGCTCTGAAAACTCACTGTGAGACATTCTAAACTTAAATCTCTTCTGAATAAGTAGTGGTTCACAACATTCTCTAGTATGTTGTGATCTGCTAGCTTAGCACCATCTATCTTAGATTAGTCATTGACTGCCACGAGTCGCTAAATTTATCACTAGCTTTGAAAAAAAAAGTTTTAAAAATTAATAAACATAGCAACAAGGTGGATACGTTAACAGCTTCTGTCCTTTCACCCAAAGGACTCACACCCCCCTGACCCTCACCCGTGGCTTTTGGCTCCGCCGACTTTGCTGGAATTTTTTGAAATTAGCCAGAAGAGTTTCAGATATTACTTACACTTTAATCGCAAAAGAGTTGATGCCCTTTAACCTAAATGAAAAGTCAGCATTTTGAAAGATGCTGCAAACATTTAACAGCCAATACACAGCAGTAAGTTTATACTGGGCCTGTCACAATAAATTTTGATGGGAAAAATTATTTAGATAAACGAAAACGTTGTTTGAGACCATTAACTAATAGCATAAAAATGGAATAACAATGAATACACACCCTCTCAAAGGACAAACTAAATTCTAAAGAACATTTAACACTGTAACTGCAAGACATTTTAAGTACAAAATTAACAAACCACAAATAAAAATGGATTATGACGTCTCTAAGCAAACTTGCCCTTCAAACTATATTTAACAGGTAATGGGTCAGTTACGACTTTTGTGAAAAAAAAGTACAAGCTTTCCCTTATACTTTTTTCACAAAAGTGTGTGAAAGTGAGACTGGTACAAGCAAGCTTCATTGTTTTAATTAGGCCTGAACAGCAAAAACACTGCGAAGGCGTTTTGTAGTTTTATTTTCTATCTGCTGAGACGGTATGCTTCACACTTAAATGTTTCCTCTGGGAACGCCCTGGGCTTCCCCTGGAGGAGCCGCTACGCCCGCCACCCGACTGCAGATAAGCAGAGGAAGATGGATGGATGTTTTCTTTGCCTAAATGTCTGATTTTGTACTGTATTCTGTTACTCTTTAAAATATTTTTTTAAATATAGTTTTTGCCTGTCAGTCTACATAAAGAGGTAGCAGTTCGTGCTTCTTAGTGAGCCTTCAGGCTGTAGGTCCAGGTTGTTCATTTGTCTGGCTATCTGTCGGGTCAGCGGCCCAGGGCTTCAGTGGGTCTGGTCCCCATTGTCTGATGGTGGGGATGATTTGTTCCCTCCATTGTCTGGATTACCCTCTGCCGTAGGATCTTTGGAGCGCCACATCAATCTCCAGCTGTGAGTCACCAATAATCCAGAGCTTCCTGCGCTGGTCCAGCTGGTTTCTCTGCATTCAACCATCCGGTTCCCGGATCTCATCAGAATCACAACCACCAAACGACATATTGATAAATCCATTTTAATGGAAAATGTAAAACCTTTTTGAACTTTAATGTACAAAGCATCTACACTTGCACTTCAAAATTTTAAATTGAAGCAAGGTGTCTTTTAAAAAAATACTTCACTTAATGTATATATGTATATATTTACACTTTATAGTTAACTTCTTAATTATTTTAACCTTTAAACCTCAAAAGTTCACAATAGTAAATCTTATCAAAAAAAGCAAGACAATTCTTAAATAAATTACATCTTTTTTGTAAATGTCAAAATTTTACAGCGGTTAGTTTTGTTTTCATAAACTGTTGTGTAGAAGTCTTTTTCTTTACATAATACAACTTTACAGTCTGAACAATAGCTTGGCAGTTCATTTTCAGAAAATAGATTTATGGCATGAGGACTGGAGAGTGTCAATATTTCCCAAAGTCACAGGCATTAGCCCGTGTGTGTGTGTGCGCGTGTGTGTGTGTCCTCCATCACAGTAGAGATCATAACAACTGAAACCACAGAGTAAAACAAAAGAACTATACAGCTCACATTTACATGAAGTCTCTCTTCTTCATAACATTGCATTATCAGAGCTGGAACGTCTCTCCAGAGGAAGAAATGACAGTTTGACAAAGAAAACCAAGAACAGAGAACAAAGACGGGAACGTCCAGAAAAGAAAAGACACGGACAAACTGGAGAGAAAAGGGAAATAAAAGAGGCAGCAGAGGCTGCTGAATGAAGCATCCTTAATCTCCTGGTTCTCTCTTGTCTTCAGCAAAATCTTCCTTCCCAGAAACCACAGGCAGATTAAAGTGAGCTGGCGCTTCCTGTCCCCAGCAGTTCCCTCAGAGGCTCTTAGGGCCCAGTCTGTCACTGATGCAGCAAGCCAAGGTCACGCCAAGGAGGTCAGAGTTCCTCCAGCGGTCGTTGGTGTCCTGTAGCCATCTCTGCTCTGGTTCTAGGCAGCGAAGCTTCAGTCTCATGGGTCCAGCAGGCACTCTGATCCTGGCTCTCCATTTGGCTCAACAGAACATGGACTCAGCTGTGTTTGTAGTTGACCACTAGATAGGGTCTGACACTGCAGAGCCTCCAGGGTCATGGGAGCAGCTTTGAGCAGACCATCTTCAGCACATGATGAGGAGGGTGAGGCTGAAGACCAGCGAAGGTCGGAGGTCGTTTTGGATAGCACGGCCAAGGTTAACTAGGTGTCATGAATTATCTTCCTTCAGATCTTTGTCAGAGTTATTCCTCTTCAGTGAGCTCACCACCTCCTTCACACAGTGGTACAAGATATTCTTCACCTGAAATCGGGACAAACATCAACAATTTTTATATGTAATCAAAAGATTAAACCTATATTTCTTTTGATAAATAAAAAAACTTCTAAATGAGTGTCGCAAATGAACTTAATTTCTCTTCTGGTCCAATTACAGCCAATGCGGAGAATGTAAAACTAGAACTTCTGCCTTTCATATGAAAAGTGTTTTTGGCAACCTCTAGTGGTCAAACTGTGTAGTGCAGGAGGTTGAGAGAAGTGAAATGCAGCCTGGACAAACTGCACAGTTATGATGACAACCAGTGGTGACCAGCTTCTAGTTACTTCCTCAAACAGGTAACCGAGTTACAATGGTCTGAAAGCAACTAAATACCAGAAAAACCAAGTATTACACACCATAAGACAAAAAATAAAACATGCTTGCATAAAAGCTTTTATATATATCATTGTCCCCAATGAAATTTTAAAATGTTCAAAAGTTTATTAGAAAACTGAATATGATTACAATAAATTGACATTTAACATGAGGAACTATAAGCAAGAGAGACTGTAGAGTAATCTAAACTATTCAAATGTTGGTGTGAAACAAGACATCAATCAAATTAGTTGTGTAACTGTAGAGCTAAATATTTCTCCATTCGAAACAGTAGAACAATAAAATAACTAGAACAACTCTGAATAAACTTAAATGGGACCTGTCAAGGTATACCCATCAGTTGGAACCCAGCATTCTGATGCTAAAAATGAGCTAAAGTAAGGTACAAAGTACTCAATACTATCTGAAGAGTCACAAGCATGTTGAGTAACAAACTTTTAAGTATGTTAAAATTAGTGTATAAGGTCAAATTAACCAAAAGGCTAATGTTAGCCTAAATGCTACCAGTGGCATGTGGGGTATAAGTAGCATGTTAATATTAATGTACTGCCTTCTGATTTTTACTTGTGCAAAAGTCAAATATTTACTTTGTGGCAGTTCGTTACCAGAAAAAACGCTCATCTCTTAGCAACAGATAAACAACAAATATTATTGTTCAAAAAAACCATAAGATTTCTTCTGCTCTTTTAAATACTCCTTATCTTACACTACTTAACAAGAATTGTGCAGTTAATGAATTTTTCAGAAAAGTGAAAATGTTTAGGTTTTTTTTTTGTCATTGGTGGTTAATATATTATAAAAGTAAAAATCTGATTTGTACTTTGTGACAGTTCGTAATCTGAAAAAAACAGGCTCATCTCTTAATACCAAATTAATAACTAATATTATTGTTTATAAAACATGCGCTCATTTGAAATACTGCTTATCTGCTTAGATACAAGAAATTTACAGTTGGTAAATTTCACAAAAGTAAAAATCAGATGTTTACTTTGTGGCACTTGGTTACCAGAAAACGTCCTCATCTCTTAGCAACAGATTAATAAATATTGTTATTGTTCAAAAAACATAAAATTTCTTCTGCTCTTTTGAAATACTATTTATCTTACATTACTTACTACTTTAACATTGTGCAGTTAGTGAATTTTGCAGAAAAGTGAAAATGTTTTTTGGTCAGAGGTAAATTATTATAAAAGTAAAAATTTGATTTATACTTCATGGCAGTTTGCTACCAGAAAAAATCGCTCATCTCTTAACACCAAGCTAATAACTAATAGTGTTGTTTATAAAACATCTTCTCTTTTGAAATACTGATTATCTTCATAGACACAAGAAATTTACAGTTGGTAAATTTTGCAAAAGTAAAAATCAGATGTTTACTTTGTGGCACTTCAAAGGGAACACATGAAAGAAGCACAAAGTCCTAAAAATGTGGAATCTGGTGAGAATTTGTACAGGTGTGATCCCAGGACCAACCACTGTGAGGCAGTAGGTATTTATCCATAAAGATCGTCGTCAGTATCTTCGTTAAACACTGCCTTCAAGTAGAATTGTTTTTTAAGCACTTAGTTTCAAAGAACCTAGCACCAACTAGTGGCTCTTAGCAACAGTTTAACAACAAATATTGTTATTGTTCAAAAAGCATAAGCATTTTAGCCTCATTTTAACTTTGCTTTGCAAGTGACCTGAGAGAAATATTGAGGCTTTTATTTTGAAATGTTCAGTATTAACATCAGAAAAACAGTCCAAAGTGGTTGTCAGTTTAGGGGCAACAAGTTTCACGAGTCATATGGAACTTAATTCTTTTGCTCTACTGCCATCTTGTCTGTAAGTGTTCCTGGCGTGTCTGTAGTTCTGACTGGAAGCTCTGGCCTTCTCTGTAGACCAGAGAAGACCAGAGCTTCTCTGTAGGAATTGTAGTTCTCTACATCTCTGCTCTCCTCAGTGTTCTATTTCTATAGTAATTAATTCTCTCTGAGAACTTTCATGTGTGAGTGAGACACAAGCTGTGTCCGAATTCAGGGTCTGCATCCTTCGAAGGATGGACTTGTAGGCCGATTACGTCATAGCATGGCGACAAGGCCTGTCCGAATTCAAAGACTCCTTCAAATGCGTCCTTCTTTTTCCCAGATTTGAAGGATGGGTCCGGTGTATCCTTCATGGCCCACGATATCCCATAATTCATTGCGGGTTCCAACTGGGCGTTCAGGCAGAGCGTCAATGGCGGTGAATAGCGACAAATTATTTAGCTATATAACACTTTAAATGACACAACGTGATTTGGTTCAACGTTTTTAGGCGAGAATGTAAGTGTGTAAATCTCAAATATCTGCTCGGTTCATCAATACATCATCTAATTGCAATATTGCTCTGACATTTTTGGACCTGTGTGCTACTGCTGTGTTAACAGCCAGCTCCCCTCGCCAGCTGTCAGCTGGCCAGGCGCTCCATGTTCGGTATACCGAGAGAAAACGCCTAACTCCTGGCACATTGTTATAAAAACTCTTGCTAGCTTTCCCCAATGAGTGGGAGTTAAACACAGTTGGTAAATTTCACAACATTTGTCAACCAGACAGATCTGGTTGAAAAATGTTTGATTTATAAAGTATTTCAAAGCAGAGCACATCGGTTTGATTGATTAATTAAAGTTAAGCATTCAAACATAATAGGTTTATTTAACCGTAATGTCCTATCTGCGATGTGGAGAGTATTATGTTTGTAAATGAATAATTTGTATTCCTTGTAGAAAAGTGCAGTACACATTTGAACATTTTAGAATCAAATTAAGAGATTTCCTTTTTACTATGGAACATCCTTTACTATAAAAGGTGAAGAATAATATAGGAATCAGTAATACATGACTGAAAAACAAACTTTGGCTCCGTTGTTTTTTTTCTTCTTCTCCGCTCTCTGCTTCACGCTGTCACGGTTGCTAGGCAACATGAGTTACGCTGAGGTGGGGAAGGGGACAGTTGGTGAAGGCTAGACCTGTCCGAATCCACAGATATTTTTCTTCCGGTCTTAGTTTATTCCCGGCCTTCGAAGGACCCGTCCTACGTAGACCAGTCCTTCAAAGGATGCAGACCCTGAATTCGGACACAGCTACAGAGGGGCAGACAAAATTCTATCTCTGTTTACACGTTACACGACAATGATTTTGGGTGAAAACGGAAGAGTTTTGTTGCGTTTGTACTGTACATTTACATGACACCACCGAATGTTTTCTCTGACACCGGCACAGATTTAAAACCAGAGTGCGATGTTTCTGAAACATACCGGTGTCCGTTGTCTTGTAAACAGAGAAAATGGATCTTTTCTTCCAGAGAATCCCCAGCTCATGCATAGTATGATGCAAAACATAGCTGCTTCCTACAATCCACAGAAGAAACTACTGACAATGCTGGTATTACTACAATTCGTGTTTCCCCATCAGATACAGTTCCCTCAGCGTCTCTTCACCGCTCCGCACCGCCCAGGTGGCAAAATACACGGCTGCTTGTTCAGCGCTCTTATCTAGAGAACTACGGACACCGTGAAAGCTCAAACAAGGTGTTTCAGCAAATCTATCCCACTTTTTCCAACTGCATGCGCCCTAATCAGACGCACACAATGCGTGTTTTCTCCCAATCTATGGGAGAACAGTACCTGATGGGGAAACGCGAATCCACGTGCCTTCAAGTAGAATTGTTTTTTAAACACATGCGCACTTAGTTTCAAAGAACCTAGCACCAACTAGTGGCGTGGCGGGAGCATTACACGTTTTTGATGCGTACCGTTACTGTGTACACAAAGATCGTAATTAGAACGTTTTCATGTAAATGATCCAACAAAAACGGAACAAAGATTCCGTTTTTGTTGGATCATTGTCATGCAAATGCCCTCTGAAGTCTAACAAAACAGTGTCAGTTAAAATTAGATTTGATTTGAATTTGGCTCATTTTTCGCGAATTCGCCACCATGGTTACTCAAAATGCCGACAAAAGTAATAGCGCCCCATCATGGGATCAAGCCGCACGCTTTGATATTTATATTGTGAGGGGGCATTGAAAAGGAAAGCATTTCATTGTTCTCTTATGCATTGCTATGGCAGGCCCCAGTAAATGTAGAACTGTTAATATTTATTCCATACCAACCGGCTGCAACTGACAATAAAATTAAAGTAATCCTGTCAATCATCATATTTTAAAATTTTTTTAAAGGTTTTAAAGTAATATTGAGAAATAAGTGCACAAATGTAGAAATGTAAACTCTACAGCTTTCTTTGGTCTAATAATATATGTAAAGTCTCTCAGTGGTGACGGACAGTAAAGATAGTAAAGGGACCAGGTTTATTTTGCTCTGCTTGTATTCAAATTAATACCAGTATTTTAGTGAGTTCAAAATTTTAACAAAATGAATTGCAATTGTTTTTTTTTGTTTGTTTTTTTTACATACAAAAGTCCTGAGCCAGAACCTTTGCATTGTGTTGCTGTAACAGCAGAACCCACTGGAAGAAGACCGGTTTCTTCTTCCAAACCGATCTGATTGAACGCTGGAAAACACTACTGCTGTGTTCAAGTAGTGCTAAAAGGAGTTAGCCTACCAGTGAAGCTATTCAAACCTATAATATCACCTCAATACTAAACATATTGAGGTGAGCACCATATGCATTCATAGATCTACCCTGGGATCATATTCATGTGAAATACCAAAGGGATTGTGGCTTGTTCCTCAGGTTCCTTACCTGCAGCTTATCCTCATAGTTGACCTCCTCTTTGTTGGCGCGCAGCTCCTGGGTCAGGTGGAAGGACCTGCCCACATGCTCAGGAGACACAAAGTCATTGATGACTTGGACACAGCTGTGAAGATTCTGGACCTGATGGACAAGAAGACGTGCGGTTCAGCACAGGACAAATGGGCCACAGTCTACCTACCGCAGAAATAATTACACAATAAGAAAAAACTCAATGAAATATGTGCTTGGTTGGCTTTGGTCTTGGTTGTAACCATGAATCTTGGTGTTATGTTTTCTACTGTCAGAGCCTCTTATCCTCTTCACTGGTGTGGGTCCAGTAGCAGAGTGGAGTGAAGATTTAGTCAGTTGGTGAAGATTTAAGGGTTGTACCCATGACAGACTGACCAAATCTTCTCTATCACTGTCAAACAGTTTTTGGAGGAGGCAGTATGATGATGTGGGGCAGCATCTCCATCATTGGTTGTCATTGGGTGCAGGGGCGGATCTACTGGGGTGGCAATTGCCAGCCCAAACGAGAGCCTCGCCACCCCTGTTGCCACCCCAGCTACCGACAATGAATTCAATAAAT